TCCTCCTCCTCCTCGAACCAAGTCACTCATGGCCAACACTAAGCTCCCCACTTTCGCTTTCCTTTTCATCATAATCATTATCCTTCATTACAGCCCTATGAGTTGCGAGGGCAGACATCTGATAGAAAAAGATAATGCAGTCGACCAGGCCAACAATGGAGGTGAGGCGGCCTTAGGCTCAGCCGAACCAGAAGGTTTTGGGAACAATGTAGATGCGGTGGTTGACGATGATGCTCGACCGTCAGTGCCTGGCCATAGCCCCGGCGTCGGCCACTGATCATTCCCCGCTGAAACCATCAACGATAATGTATAATTAGGGCTTTAAGATTCTCATTTGATTGTGATTTGCTTGGAGTTTTTCTATATCTTGATTGCTAGGTTGATTGCATGGATACACACTTATTAATCCCATCACAGTCATATAATTCACTTTTTTAAGAGGCGGTTGGGATTTATCACTAGTAAAATTCAATCGCAGCCGTCCGAAGTGAACTGCATGGTTGTGATGGACTTGATTGTGCAGCGTGATTAACTTAGTAATTAGAGATGATTATCTATTAATGCATGTTAATGATGTAGTTGTCTCCTAAGTTAGATGTGTGTTAAGTTGTATTTGTTTGAGGGAATGCATGCGTAGTCATGCAGTTTGTACTGTACATATACGTCACGTTTGAATATTAGTTGAAGTGCATGCATGCATGCAATTAATGTGTCAAATGTGTTTTTTACTCCCTACAAATTTATCTATTTATATATTTATCATAAAATTGATAAATATTTTTATTTTTCATCTGTAGGGATAGTTTTTTATGTTGCTTTTTTAGGAGCGTTTACATATATACCGCCCAACTCCTACCTACTTGCATATAAATAAATATATATATATATATCACTTAAAATTTATATTTTTATATTTATATCATATCACATAAAAAATATCATTATTTTAATTTTAGAAAGAGAAATACACTTTTTCATTCATAGATAGTGGTATATATATATATATATATATATGCAAATATATAAATATTTGGAATTTAGTGACATGCATGTAATTTTTTTTTGTATTAGTGCCAAAAAAAATTAATTTAGATAAAATATAAAATGAATATATCCGTGATAGGGTTGATGTAGCTCCGCTGGCGGTAGACAAAATTAGAGAAATTTGTCTTTTAGATGATATGGTCACATTAACTGTCGGTCATCTGATGATCCGGTCAAGAGAGTAGATGTTTAGATTCGACTTATGTTAAGAAAGAAGAAAGACTTAAAAAGAGGAACATATCGTATAAAAATGATTTTAATTTATCAGAATTAAATGAAAGCATGACC